ACCTACAACCCGATCATACCTTGTAACACATCGAGGTCGGTGATGACTCGATAGAGCGTTTGAGGTGAGTCCCTTCGGTCGGAATCCGACTAGGTAATTTGAGTCCAGTTTAGAATCCTCTCACCTGTAAGGACTGAGGAGACCACTCGGCATTAACCCGACTGGGTCCTCGGTATGAACCTACAACCCGATCATACCTTGTAACACATCGAGGTCGGTGATGACTCGATAGAGCGTTTGAGGTGAGTCCCTTCGGTCGGAATCCGACTAGGCAATTTGAGTCCAGTTTAGAATCCTCTCACCTGTAAGGACTGAGGAGACCACTCGGCATTAACCCGACTGGGTCCTCGGTATGAACCTAGTCGGTCAGAACCCGACTACACTTGTTCCTTTCAACCCCGCACCATCAAGATAAGAGTGGTTAGGAAAATCCCTTCATTCTCGGGGCCCAAAAGGCCCATGAACGACGTGCCATAAAACCCAAAACCCTAGAGTTGAGAGGGCAGATTACACTTTTGAATGCTCTGGCTTCGCGGCTTGACCTAGGAAAAACCCTAGCGCACCCCGTGACCGGAACAGATACAAATTTAAAATTATCTATGATGATTTTTCTATTGAAAATGAATTTTTTTGTTAGAGAGAAATTTTTAAAAATACTTTTAACTTATATTTAGTTTTACTCTAATATTAAGTGAGAGTGTTATCTCGCTAAATGCGATAACCACAGTATTATATCTCTAAGTTAGAGTTTCATCTTAATAACCTATGTTAATATTTAATATAAATGTTTGTTATGCAAATTACAAATAGAAAACTCCAAATATGATAGAAGAATTATACAGAAACATCTAAAAAGAAGTATATCTAAGTTGGAAAAACAATACCAACTTGTAATAATTTTTAAAAGGACAAAAATTATATATATTTTCTTAGATGCTTCTAATATTATTTATAAATAAAATAAAATTAAAGTCTCACAATGGTATTTTACACAACAAAAATTACATTAAATATATAGGTAATATCATCAAATGCACATAAGTATCAACATATAAATTTGGTTCAATTTAATATTAGCATGTAAAAAAAATAGGAAAACAGAATAAGAGGGTTGAATCATATATTTAAAAAAAAATATTTCACAACTCTATTTTTTTTTTTAAGAATCACGTTTTGTCTGAGCAATAAAGCGATATAAGATTATATATATAAACTTTGTTTAACTCCAAACAATTAAAAAAATTCTTTATATCTTGATATACACTTTAAATAAAAAAAACTATTTTAAAACATAATTTTAGTTAGTTAAGATAAGAGAGAGAGGAACAAAATTAAATTAATTTATATTATTGTCTAAATCTCGAAATTATATCAAATTTTATATAACTTCTCTATAAGTAACAAGTATTACTTAAACATATTTCTTTAGACACAATTTAAGTAGTGTGAAATTTAAATAATATTTTACTCATCTCTTTAAGTGATAACTTAAGTATTCTCGATTAAAAATTTTGGATTAAAAAGTCTTGTCGTGTTTCAAGTATTTTTTTTACTCAAAGTCATTTTAGGCTTTTACTATATTTCACTTAGAATTTGGTTGCTAAAATAACTATCCAACATCTTATCAACCGGATATACAATGAAGTAGATATTAAGGAACATAAATTCCTATATACGCACTTTTCATGAAGAAAACAAAAGAATTTTTATACAGTGTATTTTCACTTGTATAGAACATCCAGATACCCCTTGTCCCTCAGACTCTGCAATGGGCTCACATTTTCATCTATCTACATGCTTTAACTGGTCAACCATCAACCCAGACATTAAAGTTTCAAGGCACAATTTATGGGCAACGAGTTATCATTTTGGTGGATACAGGCAGTTCACACAATATCATATAGCCTCGTATGGTATAATATCTCAATCTCAAACTTGTTCCTACAAGGCCCTTCAAAGTCATGGTGGGAAATGGTGATTATATTTCTTGTACTACAGTTTGCAAAGAAGTTCCAATTCAGTTTCAAACACATTCATTTGAGGTTCCATTATTTGTATTACCTATAGAGGGCACTGATGTGGTTCTTGGATTGGCCTGGTTGCAAAAGCTATGCCCTGTGCAAGCTGATTTTTCCATCCTTACTTTTACATTTTGTCATCAAGGGGAACATATGACCATTGAAGGCGACTCCCAATTACCTACACAAGCCATGTTTCACCAACTATGCTAACTACTTCACCAAGATTCAATCTCTACTTGTCACCTTTTAACCTTCAATTTCGTTGACCCTTCCTTTCCCTCACCCACCTTAAACCTACCCACCCATGTTGTTCACCCAGATTTGACTAAATTGTTGCATGAATATGACCAAGTTTTTCAAATACTTGCTGGCCTTCCCCCTTCCCGTCCTCATGACCATCACATCCATTTACAACCAAATTCAAGCCTAATCAATGTTAAACCATACAGATACCCCCACCACCAAAAAAAAGCCATGACACGAATGATCAAAGATATGCTAAATGAAGGCATTATACGGCCCAGTAATAGCCCGTTTCCCCCCCAGTTTTGTTGGTTAAAAAAAAAAAAAGATAGTTCATGGAGATTTTGTGTTGATTATATTGCCTTAAACACCATCACTATCAAAGACAAATTTCCTATCCCCACCATTGATGAGTTATTGGATGAACTAGGGTCTGCTAAGATATTCTCTAAGATCAATCTACGTTCAAGGTATCATCAAATTCTTCTTCACCCCTCAGATATTGAAAAAATAGCTTTTCAAACTTTTGATGGACATTATGAGTTCTTAGTCATGCCCTTTGGACTCTCTAATGCTCCATCAACCTTTCAATCTGCAATGGATGACCTACTAAGACCATTTTTAAGGAAATTTGTTTTGTTTTTTTTTTTATGACATTCTGGTCTATAGTTCGTCATTCACTGCACACTTGTTACATTTACGTTCAATTTTAGACTTATTGCTTGTTAACCAATTTTATGCCAAGCGTCCTAAGTGCATCTTTGAAGTGGAGTGTGTGGGCTATCTTGGTCATACAATCACCGAATTTGGCGTGCAACCTGATCTGGACAAAGTCAAGGCCATAGTTGATTGGCTCATTCTGCTCTCGTTGACTAGCTTACGTGACTTCCTTGGTATCACTGGTTTTTACCGACGATTTGTGCACCACTATGCTAGAGTCGCCGCTCCTCTCACCGAGTTATTAAAATGTGCCACATTTACATGGAACAGTCAGGCTCAACATGCCTTTACAGAGTTAAAAAAGAAAATCACTACAGCTCCTATTCTTCAGTTGCTAGATTTTTCCAAACCCTTTGTGCTTGAGACTGATGCTTCAGGGGTCACAGTAGGGGCTGTGTTGACACAAGACCATCATCCTTGGATTTTTTCAGCAAGAAGTTGTGCACACGAATGCATAGTGAGTCAATCTATGTGCAAGAGATGTATGCGATTATAGAAGCCGTCAAGAAATGGAGACAATACTTAATTGGGCAAAAATTTATTATCCTTACCGATCAGCAGAGTCTTCAACACCTAATGTCCCAATCAATCCAGACACTCGCACAACAAAAATGGTTGACAAAATTCTTGGGGTTCGATTTTCAAATCAATTATCGGGCAAGACGTCACAATACAGTTGCCGATGCATTGTCTCGACCAGCTGACACACATGATACAGTTCTGCTAGCCATGTCCTCTCCAGTTCCAACATTTTTATAACAATGGAGGAAGTATTTTGCATTAGATTCAGAGGGAAAAGCCACAATCCATAGATTCACAAATGATACAAAATTTGGAAATAAGTGTACTGTTCGTGAGGGCCTTTTGTGTTTTCAAAATCAGCTTTTCGTACATGAGGTATTGGATTTCAAACAACGACTGTTGGAGGAATACCATGCCATTTTGGTTGTAGGCCATTCCGATGTTAAGGTCAATCTTAGTCGCTTGGCTGCCTCATATCATTGGCCATCTAAGGCTGCTGATCTTCGCAAGTTCATCAGGAGCTGTACCATTTGTCAACAAAATAAATATGAAACTCAGAAATCAAGGGATCTTTTACAACCACTAACCACTCCAAACAAAGTATGGGAGGAGATAACCATGGATTTCATTACCTCCTTATCGAGTTCGCACGACTACACTGTGATTTGGGCTGTATGCGACCGCTTGAGCAAATATAGTCATTTTGTGGCTCTTCCTACACATTTCACTAAACAACAACTTGCTCAACGATTTATGCAAGAGATTTTTTGATTGCACGATCCTCCTAAAGTTATCATTTCAGACAAAGATCCAATATTTTTGAGTCAGTTCTGGTGTGAGATTTTTAAAGCACAAGGCACTAAGCTCAAATATAGTTCTTCTTACCACCCACAGACTGACAGTCAGACCGAGATTCTGTTGAGTGCCTTTTATTCATAAATTTCACTCAACTTTTGGCACTCTTTTTGGATAAATTGTAAATATGTTTATGATAATTTACCCTAAATAGGAAAGATCAAGTTTATACAAAAAGATAGAAGAGTAGTAGAAAATTAATGATGATTTTCCTCCTTTTTGCAGAAAAGTTTAGGAAGACACATTTCCACAGCCATAACTGTGGTTCTTGAGCTATAGCTGTGAAAATCAGAGCAGCCATCAGGAGAACAAAAAGTTGCAGCCATGGCTGTGGTTTTGCAGCCATGGCTGTGGAAATCTGGAATGCAAATTTAAGGATCCAGAGACTTGAAGCTAAACCTGTGGACTCACAGCTAGAGCCATGGAGCACTAAGGATCAAGAGAGAGCACCAGAGAGTCACAGCCATAGCTGTGAAATTCACAGCTACAGCGTTGAAGGTTCCTTAAGCTTGAAGGAGTTTTCACAGTTATGGTTGTGAAACCACAACTGTAGAGGTGAAGCTTACTTCACCTTGAAGAACTCTCCACAACTATAGCTGTGAAACTACAGCTGCAGCAGTGGGCTTAAAAATTGCAGTTTCTTCCCTGTTTTGAAGCTAATATAAAAGGGAAACGAAAGAAACAAAGGGGATCATCACAAAACAAAGGAAAAGAACAGAGTGAAGTACACGGAGAGGAAAAAACAAAGAGGAAACAAAGATTTGGAAGCTAGATCATTTGGGAACGAAGATCAACTCCATTTCTTCATCTCTTGCTTTATAATTTCTTCTTCCATTCCTTTGGTCTTGTAATGGCCATGAGTGGCTGAAACCGTTAAGGATTGGTCAGGATGTAACTACTAACTCTTCTTCTTCCTAAATATATATGTATTTCATTTTCATTATTTGTGCTTGATTCTGCCTTTAATGCTTATATCGATTTGATCACCCGTTGTATATTTTGGTTTTTGAATCCAGTTGAAAAAAGTTTTTGAAAACTCGAATTGAATCTTGCACCTAACCATCTCTTGTTCTAGGAATAGACTTGATTTGGTTAGTCACCCTTGTTCAAGTTATTGTTTTTAATGCAAAGTGTTAATCTCAAAGCATAGAGGAATCATGTTTTAGATTAATAACTTTAGGATTCAACTTTGAGGAATCTTGTTGAATTACTAAATGAAGGTGGAGGTAATGAAATTGAACTCATATTTATTTTAAGAAGATTTAAAAATTAGCAAGTGCTCTTGAGTCCAATCCTTGCTTCTCACAATTGTTCTTACAAATTTTATATTAACGTTCTATTTTAGATCATATCAACTCACTTGCAATCATGTTAATGTCTCTTTATAAATCATTAGAGTAAGAATTACTAAACTCTCAAATCCTTGAAGACGATACTGTATTTCTACAACAAAACTTGGTCCGCTTGCCAAGTGGAGTGACCTAAAATCCTCATCAGGTTTTAAATCTAACACTGGAATGTTTTTTACGATGCTTGATAAGTGCTATGATTTCATTAAGTTTATGGCCTAGTTTGAAGCACTTATATCAATTTTCCTTGCTTTAGACTTTGTTTTTAACTCAAAACATATCTAAATTGTTAGGGGATCACATTTTGTTTTTGAATCATGTTTTTAGGTAACTTACAAGTATTTGGTTGTTGTTTTGTAGTTTAGGAGAAAGCTAGGAAAGAAGGAAGGAAGTCAAGCACAAAGTGGTGAATTTGAAGTTGAAGGAATTTTTGGTTAAGTTCCCAGGCTAAGCCCCAGATCCACGCTTAGCCTCAGCATGGCAGAGAATCCCTGGAACAGAATTTTGATTCCCACGCTGAGCGTGGAACTGAGGCTTAGCGTGGATTGTGCTGACATGTCATTATTCACATAAGACAAAAGCTTTTATGACCTAAAAGGGGGATTTTCGAGGAGAGAAGAAAGGAGGATCATTCTTGGACTTTGTGTGGCGGCTGGAGAGCTCTGGAACCTTCAAGATCAAGCTTCTTCCTTTCTTCATCATTTGTAGAGTTCTACATGTCTATGTGTAGCTAAACTCACCCTTGTTGGGGTTTGATGTAACTAAACCCATTTTCATGTGTAAACTCTAAGCTATAAATCTAAGTTGTTATTCAGTTTTATTGCTCTTTTTCTGTGCATAATGTTTGTTATGCCTTGATCACCTTAACTTGAACTTGAGATTTTTAAGAGATTGAGAAATGATTTTAAACCTTTGACTTGAAATAGAGCAGCTAATGGTGCTTATTGCTAGAGATAGAGTAAATGCCATTGGTCTTTCTTAAGCTCTTGTTTTTAAAGCTGGTTTCTTGGTTAAACTATGCAAGAGATTGATAGTTTAAGTTAGAAACTTAGATTCCAACTTGTAAGAGATTAGGGTTGGTTATTTTTGAGAATGATTGATAAATTCTGAATGATAACTATTGTGAACTTAGTGATAAGCATGAGAGGAAGGTTTAGTGAAGTTAAACCCCAACAATATATTAATATTGCATTAGAATCAAGTTTTGCACTCTAAGTGTTTACCAAAATACCAAAAAGAATTGTTATTGCTTGTTTACATTATTTACTACAGCAAATCAAACTCTTATTGCTTTTCGGTAGCTTAGTTAGTATAACAAGTGAAATTGCAAAGTGTTGCGCAAGTCCCTTGGGAGACGATACTCATACTTTCATTGAACTACTTATACGATTTGGTACACTTGCCAAATGAGATAACAATGCTTTGTGAGTGATAACCCCCGTTCATGGCTCCGCTTCCTCCACATCGCAAAGTTCTGGTACAACACCAACAAACACTCCAGTTTAAACACCTCCCCCTTTCATGTACTCTATGGTCGACCTCCACCCAATACCCTCGATCTCTTTCCTTCCAGCACGACAACAGTACCCACAATGTCCTCCTTCCTGCATGAACATAAAGCTATTTTATCAATAGTGAAATATCACCTTCACCGTGCACGACAGATAATGAAGCTAGAGGTAGACAAGCACTGACGGGATGCATGCTTCATTGCTGGAGATTGGGTTTGGGTCCGTCTTCAACCGTATCGGAAAACTTTCGTTCATAGACATACTAGCTAGAAGCTTTCAAAGAGATTTTTCAAGATTTGAAGCCGCATCGGTATGGTTGCTTATGCGCTGGAGTTACGAAGGACTCGCGCATCCACCCCGTTTTCCATGTGTCCAAGCTACGTTCCTTCATCGGTGAAGACCCAGTCGCAGTTCTGACCACCACCGTCGTACTTGCTTGACACGGTTCGTGATCCACTCTCGGGTGCATGCAAAACAAAATTCGAAATTGTTCCCTCTCACATGGCACAGCCACGTCCAAATGAGACCTAAGGGATGACTTACAACACCTCCAATGAGTTTCCTTATACTGCTAATGCGGATCTTTCACCCAATTCTTCATCAACGGCTGTGATGGCCTTGAGAACTACTACAACGAGTACAAGACGCCTTTGGAAACAGCAAAGGTTGTTTGCACGTCCACTCCACTCGCGACTTATGCCACACTGTTGGATAGACCCAAAGAAAACACAATTTTATCTTAGACCTTTATTACTCCTCTAATTCGTGACTTCTCACCCACCACCACTCCAACAACGACACGTAGCACCCTTGAGGACAAGGTGCTGACTCAACCGGGAAGCATTGTTAGGGAAGTCTTGGTTAGGCCCAAATCGTTACCATATTGGGCCAAGGACTATATAATGGATTAGTTTTCAACGTAAGAAAATTGGCCCAAGATATTTCAGTTTTCCTCCAAGGTCTTTTAGACCATTGTATGAGTATTTAATATCGAGGACACCTACCACTACTTTTACGATGAAATTTATGAATTAAATCTTTCTTGGTTTTGTTCTGGTAGACCTAGTTCTTTAATAAATCTTATTAGATTCACAAAAAAAAAATGCTTGGGTACACAAATATTATTGGAATTTATTAATAATAAATATAGGAAATTTATTTTTTAATATAAACTTAATTATGTTTTTATTGTTTTCAATATTATAAATTTTTAATTTAGTTTAACTCTCTTTCTTTTTTGTGCTAAGTGAGGAGAATGACTTTAAACTCAATAATAACAATAATTATTGTAAGCTTATACTAAGCGAGAATGATTTTTTTGCTAAATGACGCAAATACAATAAGTTAAAGTTTATTTGGATACAAATGGAAGATTGTCTATGATAATTTTTCTATTGAAAATAAATACCTTTTTTATTAGAAATTTTTTTAAAAATTCTTTTAACTTATATCTAATTTTATTTAATGTTAAGCTAGTGTTATCTAGTTAAATGCGATAACCACAGTATTATATCTCTAAGTTAGAGTTTCATCTTAATAGCGTATGTTAATATTTAATATAAATATTTATTACGCAAATTACAAATAGAAAACTCCAATTATGATAGAAGAATTATACAAAAACATCTAAAAAGAACTATATCTAAGTTGGAAAAACAATACCAAGTTGTATAATTTTTAAAAGGACAAAAATTATATATATTTCCTTAGATGCTTCTAATATTGTATTTTTTTAAAAAAATTAAAAGTCTCACAATGGTAATTTACACAATAAAATTTACATTAAATATATAAATGCACAAAAGTATCAACATATAAATTTGGTTCCATTTAATATTAGCATGTAAAAAAATACGAAAACAGAACAAGAGGGTTGAATTATATTTTAAAAAAAATATTTTCACAACTCTTTTTTATTTTTTTTAAGAATCACGTTTTGTCTGAGCAATAAAGCCATATAAGATTTTTTTTATATAGAAACTTGTTTAACTCCAAACAATTAAAAAAAAATCTTTATATCTTGATATACACTTTAAATTAAAAAAAAAACTGTTTTAAAACATAATTTTAGTTAGTTAAGATAACAGATAGAGAGAAAAAATAATTAATTTATATTAGTTTGTCTTAATCCCGAGATTATATCAAATTTTATTATAACTACTCCAAGTTACAAGTATTATTTAAACATTTTTCTTTAGACACAATTTAAATAGAGTGAAATTAAAATAGTATTTCACTCGTCTCTTCAACCGATAACTTAAATATTCTCGATTAAAAATTTTGGATTAAAAAGTCTTGTCATGCTTCAAGTATTTTTTGTTTTACTCAAAAGTCATTTTAGGCTTTCACTATAATTCACATAGAATTTGGTTGCTAAAATAACTATCCAACATCTTATCAACCGGATATACAATGAAGTACATATTAAGGAACATAAATTCCTATATACGCACTTTTCATGAAGAAAACAAAAGAATTTTTATACACTGTATTTTCACTATATATAATTTTGAAGTTCCTCCGTTATTTATAAACATTCTTTTTGTTAAAAAGAATCTTCAAAGTAAATCGTGTAAAGTTTATGACCTGAGTTTGATAAGAATCAATATATTAAGAGACAAGCTATTAAATTAAAATTAATTAGTAATTAATTTTGTTTAAAAATGTAACCAAAATAAGTAGGAACCTTACAAAAAAAAAAGTGATTCTTCCTATGCTTCAAGCTTCATATATCAACTAACTAAAATATAAATCACGAGAAATCTTGTCGTTAAACTAAGTTGTTGTAGTTCGATTCCTGACTCTTGTATGTGTAAAAAAATCAAAACTAAGAAAAAAAATTCAACTATTTAATTTATGTCAAACTCCCAAAAGAGATTAGTTTTTTGTGTTGAATGAAAAATGTTAATGGTATTTATACCCTAAACTTTAGTAATGGACATCAAGAAATAGGGAGGATTCAAATTCGAAGAATTTATCAGCGGCTTGTCCTTAAAAAATTGTATGTTGATGCAAAAGTCATGAGTGGCTGAACAAAATCGATACATAATCTGATGGTTCACTCGTGGGTATTATTGATGGCTTGGCATGCTCGTTAGGGTTATTACCTCTGTTTCATAGTCTGCATGGTAATCTTGTTGATAATTAACTATAATATATCATTGCTTTTAATACTTAACAACGACTTTTTTAGCAAATGATAATACTAAAATTCCTTGTAGAGATTGAGGATAGAGTGCTTTTTTCACTTGTCATAGTTACAAGAATATTTCTTATAACTTGTCATAGCCTCATTTTAAAGTCTCTCCACAATCATTCAGCCATTCAGTAGTTGATCACAACACATAATTTGTGAACGTATGTTTCGCACTAAAATACAGAAATCAATGCTATCATTTGTTTCATGAGAGCAAATACTTGAAGCAAGTTGCGAATTATTAGCTTCAACGGTTGCATTGCATCAATCAAAGTGTGATATTTATTGGATACTCATGGTCCTCCACAACCAACGAATAAGAGCCTTCTTCAATCACCAAAGAACCACCCTCATTGGCTCGACTAAAATGCTCACAAAGACTTAGCTGAAACCCCACTTGAACCGTTTCCCCTGCATCCACCTTCACACTCTCAAAACCCACCAATTGCTTCACCGGATTCCCGTTTCTCACCTTCCCCTGCCTCGTGAACAGCAACACCGGATGCTTCCCCGACATGCTACCGTGGTTCGTGACTCCTAAGGTCACCGACAAGGACATGCTTCGGCATGTTTCTTCCCCCAACTCCGAAACAAGTTTGTAACGTATGGTTTCGGAATTTTCGGTCACGTAATAATGGGTCGATGATATGTTGATGTGGAGGGTGGTTTGAGAGAGAGAGATGAGGTTGTGGGAATAGTTGGTGTAGCTTAGGCCATAGCCAAATTCGTAAACCTTTGGACCAGTGTAGAATCGGTAGGTTCTTCCAGGGTACCCTGTTGCTGGATCAGCTCTCATTCTCATATCTGTCATGGGTACTTTGATGATGTAGTCTTTTGGGTACCATGTTATTGGTAGTTTTCCTCCTGCGTTACGTAAAAAAATTAATTGCATGTGGTACACGTGGTTATTTTGGACTATTTAATATATTTTTTTTAGAATAAAAAAATTTACCTGGGTTATGATCACCAAAGATAACCTGGGCCAGGGCCAGGCCTCCAAGCTCCCCAGGGTAGCCAGCCCATAAAATCCCTCCAACTTTGTGATCAAACTTAGCCGAAGTAATATCCACTGGGCCCCCAGACAAGAGCACCAAAACAACGGGCCTCTTAGCAACCGCGGCAACTGTGTGGATCAACTGTTCCTGCTTCCCAGGCAGGCCCAAATAGTGACGATCATGGGACTCCCTCTCCTGATTCTGATCCAGGCCCATAACGAGCACAACATAATCGACATTCTTAGCAAGGTCCAACGCATCCTGGATGCTGGCACGGTCACAGTGCGTGCCATTGTGACAGCCAGGGTGGTAACGGGTGTCCTTAGCGTACCCCTGGAAGGCTTGCAAGAGCGTAACCAAGTTGCAAGGACGACCGTAGTAGTTTCCCAACGCAACGAGTGACGTGGCATTGGCATTGGGGCCTATGAGCGCGAGGGTAGGGTTTGTTTTAGGAAGTGGGAGGAGTGAGTTTGTGTTCTTTAGAAGCACCATGCCGTCTCTTGCTGCATCCAGAGCTAGGTGAAGGTGCTCTTTCGAACACACTTGCCTGGGACCGATGCTGCCGAATGGAAGCTTCGTGGGGTTTCCGTCGAATAGGCCTAGCCTTATTCTCATGGAGAATAGGTTCTCAAGGGCACGCTCCATTTCACCTATGCCCAATTTTTTTTTTACCACTGCTGATTTTCCATGTTTGCTTATGTAGTCACCACACTCCACATCCATCCCTGTCAATTCATAATAAATAAATAAATAAAAACTTTATTAACAATTACGTGCTACACAAACATTTTTACTTGAATCCAGGCTAAGGATAGTTCACCACTAAATCAAAGTACAACCATAGGGGACCTTGAATGCTAAGGATGAAATTCAGGCATGGCATTGAGCACGTGGGGGGACCTACTATAAGTGCGGGCCAATCCACATGACTTTGCTAGAAATATTGGCGTAGATAACAAATGATTAAAGAATGTGCATGATATATATTTTCTATTAATTTTACAAGCAAAGCATCAAGCGTATATTTAGATTATGACATAAATAATGGAAGGAAATGTTTGAATAATTAAAGAATAGGAAGTGTGGGACACTATACCTGCCCTAAAAACATCGGCTATAGCGTCCTCTGCTGTTTTTGCATAACCTTGCTCATCGTGTATGATAGAGACTGCACCACAATCTGAAGTAATATACCTAAAATTTTACAGTCAAAACGTTTGTTTTAAGACAAAGTAATGTATCACTCTCAAATCCAAATTTCAAAGAAAACAATTGTTTAAACAAAGTTTCACCAATCCATCCAATTTTGAAAAACAAGTTTCACCAAAGAAAAGACCAACTTAATTATCATGCACTATAGGTTCAAAATGGTACAAGGTATTATACCCGTCGAATTTCCATTGTTTTCTTGCGGTTTTGGTTAAGAGATTGAAATCTGCACAGTTTGGAACCCCATTGACGCGGTTGTAGGCACACATTATCCCACTTGCTCGACCTTTCTCTATGCAACTCTGAAATGGAGGCTGATAAGTATCCGCCAAATCTTGCGACGTTACCTGAATCACAAAGCATTCAGAGAATTAACAAAAGGGCACAATTGAAAGAAAAAAAAATAGAGTAAGTAAACATCCACATTATATAGTGTCACATCACGAGCCTAACTTTATATCCAAGTCTAGGTATCAAACGATTCTCTTTGTCAATACTCACAAGGATAATGATGGTAAATCAGCGAAGCAGAAGCATTCTAATTATAAAAAAAAAATCAGTTAGATAAAAAATTGTTAAACATAAAATAACACATTATGGTCCTGAGTTTGAAGCATCGATGGAAGGCATTGAAAAAGAAAAAGAAAAAAATAATAAATAAATAAAATAAAAAGAAGCAAGAGTTACACGAGCATCGAAGACAAAGCGATTGATGCCCTTCCATTGGTCCAAATCGTAAGCAGTGAAGTGCTTGCAGCAGGCTGAAGCTTGAAGCCTCTCTCCAAGTTTGCCTCCATGAAAGGAATCCCCTTGAAGCCCTCTCACATACGCCACACCATACTTTGCATTCATCAAAGGATCTTCCCCCGCCGTCTCCTGCCCCCTCCCCCACCGTGGATCCCTGAAAACGTTTATGTTCGGAGCCCAAAACGTCATCCCCGTCGCTTGTCCCGCATTGTACACCGCTCGAGCTTCCGTCCCAATAGCCTGAACAATAATATAACCCCATAAAGCCCCACATCAGAGAAACAAACACGGCTGAAAGTGTATATAAGCATTTGAAAGATTGGGGCATTACTGACCTTGCCGATTTGGTACCAGAGGTTTTGGTCGAAGGTGGCGGCCGTGAGAATGACCTGGGGGAAGCTGGTGGCGCCTTTGATGGTGCCGTTGAGTCTGATGCCGAGGCCGGCGTCGGCGACGCCGTGCAGGGCTTCGCTCCACCACTGGTAACTGGGGATGCCGAGGCGCGGAATGGAGGGTGCTGTGTTGACGAGTTGGGCGAGTTTCTCGTCGAGGGTGAGTCGCGAGACAAGGTCTTTGGCGCGTTGAGTTATGGGGAGCTCGGGGTTGCAGAATGGGTAGCGTGGGTGGAAGGAGGCGTCGCAAGAATATGGAGGCTGAGTTGACTCGGCGGTGAGAGAGAGGAAAGAGATGAGAAAGGTGATGACAACGGAAGAGAGACCCATGTTTACTGCTTAGTGCTTACAGAGTGTGTAAGAGTAAGGGGTTTATAAAGGAAGCTCCAGTTGGGAACGATAACGTCATGTTTCAGACCGAGTTTTGTCGGATAATGGGTCTTTCTCTTATTCAATGTTCAAAATAATGCAATTGCTGTCTAACTTTCTATATTCAAAGGAAATGCTTATTACCTACAAAACCTTTTATAATTTTATTCTCATCTTGTATAAAATTGGCAAAATTCTTTTCTCTTTGCTAAAACATTTATGACCCTTTAACATCGAATAAAAAAAAATAACCTAAATTGTAATTTGTATCTCTTTATTTTTTTTCCATATGTAATCTCAGTTTACATAGTTCAAAATAGAAATATCAAATATTTAATTTCTTAACTTTGAAAATACAAAATTTTCATCTTATTAGCAATTTAATATTTATACACTATTAACTATGTTTTGCATTTTATTTCTTGTAATTCTATGACTGTTACTTTCAAAATATGGCATAAACATCATCAATACATCATGTTGACCCAAATTTAAATGTACATTAGATGCTTTATATATATATATATATAAGATCGGA